GGCGGGGGGGGGGCCCCCGGCCGGTGGGGGGGGGGCGGGGGGGGGGGGGGCGGGCGGCGGCTCGGCCGCTCGCGGGCTGGCACGGAGCGGAGCGGCCGGCGGCCACGGCGGAGCGATGATCCGCCGGGAAGGTAAGGAGCGCGGCGCCCGGCCCTGCCCGCCGCGCCGGGCACCGCGGCCCCGCAATCAACAAGTGTCTGCCCCGCCGGGACCGCGCTCCCCACCACGGGCAGCCGTGCGACCCCGGGGTTAACAGCCGAGGGCTGGGCGCTCTCGCTCCTCGCCCTCCTCGGGCTGCGGACACGGTGTGCTGGCTCAGAGTGGGTGGCCGTGGGACGTTCTGCTTGCAGCTCCCTTGCGCGCTGCGGGGAGGAGAGTGGGCATGGGGGTTTGGGCTCCGCGAGGAGGGATTTCCTGGAAGTGGGACTCGCATGCACCTTGAGGCACGTGGAGATGGGCCCTGGATACCATGTGCTGTTTCTTGGGAGCTATAGGAGGTGTCCTGTGGTCTCCCTGCCACGCTGGGTGCCCGGCACTTCCCTCGGTCGGGAGCCAGCAGTCCCCTGCTCCATCTGGCTGTCACCCGTACGAGCGGCCAGCAGCGCAGAGGTCAGCGCGGTGCGTGCCGCTCTGCCTGCTCAGCCTGGGCTGCAGTGGGAAGTTTACACCAGGTTCGCAGTCTTTGTGTCCTGGTGTGGTGGCCCCAGCTCTCCATCTGCTTCTTTAGTTCTGCTGATAAGGTCAGGAATGACCAGGCAATGATATCTCAGCCCTACTCACGGTTTGCTGGGCAGTGTCTGAAGCCACTGTTACATCTTGCAGAAAAGGAATCTCTTAGTAATAACACAGGGCTAGGCTTGCCATAAAGCTTGGGGAAGTCCGTGCTCTTTCTGGAGCAAGTGCGGAGCCCAGCTCCAAGTCAGAGCTGTTCGCGCTTCCCCAGGCTCCTTTCCCTGTTCTGCTCCCACGATGAGTCAGTGTGGGCTGGTGACACAGGCAGGAGGGACCCCCTTTCCCTTTCGGCAGAGGAGCTGGGAGGCTGGGCGAGCTGGGACACCAGGTGGCACGTACCCGAGCAGACACAGGCCCCCTTGTTTGATGACCTGAATTCTCGAGAGCCCTGTGATGAGCAGGGTCATCCTTTCTGCATGAGTTCCTGGCTTAAAAGATGAGTCTCCAGCAGTGGCAGGACAGCTTCCCTGCCTTCTCACACAAACACTCTTTGTCTGCAGTCTGCCTGGGTGACAAAGGGAAATATCCACTGATGGGGCAGGGATGGTCTCAAGGTCCACAGGAGCTCACCACCTGCCTGAGATATGGGTCACATCTGAGGTCGGGGCTGCACTGGCAGCTCTGGCTGTCTGCCCAGAGTACTGTGGAGGTGTCCACGCAGAGACATCACAGCTCCACTATTTTAGGTCCAGGGTTTTCTCATAGCTATGTCTGGCCCAGTCATTAACCAAAATGTTGCTTCATGGAAGCCTCCAGCTCCCCTCCTCACCAGCATCTCCTTTGACCCCAAGGCACCGTGTTCCTTTCCCACTTGTCTCCTGCTGACCCATGGCTGCTTGCTGCTTTGAGCAATTCTTATGCTTCACCCTGTAGAAACCCAAGTTTTGCCACTCCTGTAGCTGAGCTGTTTTGCACTATGTGAATGGGCCTACGCTCAGCTTTGCTGCAGCCATCTGGCCCTATGTGGGAGGCTGCAGTTCCTGCAGTAATATTCATAGCCCAACCATAGTGCAACCAGAATGTGTCCAGCTCCTAAACAGCTTCTGTGTCTGGGAGGTGGCAGAGGTGTTCAGGCTGCCCAGTGCTACAGGGTTCAGAGTTGAATCAATCTGATTTTAGCCCCTGATTTTCAGGGTTGGTGGCAAAACTACCTCTCCTCCAGTTCCTGCCCTGGTCTCCACTGTGGGCCCTCAGTGCCCCTCAGCAGGGTTAGCTTTCCAGGTGTGTGTAAGGAGGCTGCTTTTGTGGCTGACTGACTTAAAAATCCAGACTAGAAGGCAGCTTGAGGCATTATCCCAGGCTGCACTCGAGCTTTCCCTTGACATCCTACGATGCTAATGCCTTGTTACTCCTGTGTCATCTCTGCAGACACTGAACGGGCAGTGGAAATTCTGACCAGATACCAAAGCACCCTGCGGTCCCCGGAGGAGCAGGAGTTAAAAGCTTCCATTGGAAAAGTCTCGCACATCTTCCAAAGTGAACTCTTCCAGGCTCTGCTGGGTAAGCCCCTGCCTTGCAGTCCCTTGCAGTCCCTGCAGCCTTGTGTTTAGTGGGGTCTCCCGATGATCCCACGCCGATGATCCCACGCCGGCGCCTGGCACTGATCAGTGCATTCTGTGCAAACACATGGCATGTAATGCCAGGGAGCTGGGCTGTCTTTCCCCTCCAGGGCATAGGCAGGAGATACCAGGGCTGCAATCACTGGGTGTTTGTAGTGAACAGCATTCCTCAGTCTGATGAGGACAAGGGATAACACTTTCTTATCAGGCCATGCCTGTTCTATCCAGCACCTGCTAAGGGATCTTGCCCTTCTGTGAGCACTCTCTGTGCAGTGCAGGCCTGGTGTGTCCAGGAAGGAAAACTAAATTTTTCTGTCTTTAAGAGAGAATCCACATGTACCCAAATTCCTTTGGGGTATTCAGGCCTTTCTTGTGCTTAGACCCACCAGCACTTGTGAGAAACACTGTTCCAGCAGCTCCATGTCACACAAGACTTAACAGCAAGGCTTATCTTGGGGCTGGACACCAGAAAATGGCATTTTGAGCACTGTATAAAGTTCTCCATGTGGGCTGAGACAAATGCAGCTGAAGTCCTTCTGGACTATGCAGCTTCTCTGCAAGGCATACAGCTATTCTCCTTAAGTTCTGTTCACTGTGGGGCTTGGGAAATGCATGCAGCCCTGGTGGTTTCTGTTCCTGCATCTCCTGGGAGAGAAGCTGAATTTCCCTGGTGGGAAGGAAGGGAAAGCACCCCAGAGGCTCTGCACTCTGAGAGGAAGACCCAGGCCCCAGGGTGCAGAGCTCCACATGTGGTCTGTGGCTCACTCTCAGTGCATTTTGACCCAAGGCTGTCTCAGCCCTGGTGCTCCCCCTCACTGTTCTCTTGGCAGCTCTCGCCTCTTCTTCACACCTCTGCAGCCAGAGTTCCACTTCTGTGCCTGCAGAGATGAGTTGCCAGCAGCTCCTCTGTGCTTCAGGTTTTCCATTGAAAATTAAGTTGAGGGCTGTGTCCTGAGCAATTTTATTCTATCCTTTTTTTTCTCTTGCTGTTGGAGCATCACCTGGAGACTTTCAGTCCCAGCATGCCTTTTAAAGGTCTTGTGCTCAAATGTCTATGCCAGCAGCAGCAGAGATGTGCCAAGGGTGGACTCCCCAGGGCAGGTGAGCCCCCACACTGAAGGAGCCTGTGTACATCTCCTTTCTTATCTCTTAATTTATACAACCCGTTCTCTAAATGATCCCCAGCCCTGAGGCAGGGATCTGGAGTAGGGCTGTGATCTTGACCAACCTGACATTAGCCAAACACCCCTGGCTGCTTTTGTTTGCTGGCCAGTCCTCCCTGGGGCTGTGTGAAGGCAGCAAAGCAGCTTTCCCAAGGCCCAGGGCTGTTGCTGTCAGTGCAGAAGTGCTGTGCAGAGAACACGTCTGCACGTGCCGAGCTGGCTGCAGCTGCATGCTGGCGGGCGGATGCTGCAGCGTCCCCAGCTCCTGCTCACAGCCGTTTGTCTTGGTGTCCTATCAGCCCTGGCACAGGGAGTGTTGGGAGTGTTGCTTGTTTACTGGTGACCTTTTCAACTGGTTTAACAGGATATTAATTCCCCGTGCCAGAGCGAGCCTTTCTCTCGATGTGTTTATCTAAACTAGGAATTTGCATTAATTACTTCCGCCCCCCCACCTCGACTCCCTCCTCCTGCTTCCCCTCGGTGTAGGTTTGTGAATTCCTGTCCCAGCATGGACATTGTGTCTGGCTGTGTGCTCGCTGTGGCCACACACGGCTGGCACACACTGGGTTGCCTCCTGTCTACGGTCCGTACCCACTGGAGCACAGTAACAGCACTTGCAAGGGTGATAGAACATTTCTATTTTCATTTTTATTTTCACCCCTCCTTTTCCCAGTGGGCCACTGTGTCTCTGTCTGAAGTCTGCTCTGAGTCACAGGGCTGGCTCAGTGTGGGAGGAGGGTTTGCAGGAGAGCACAGACACTGCTCAGTGCTGTGCTCCCGACTCACTGCCCCACACCATGCCAGATGCCTCTGACTCTGGAGAGGCCTTAGCCTGCGGAGGTCCCTCCTCTTGCAGCCTTTCAGCAACACAGCCCTGCTTTTTTTCAGCCCCTGGGGAAGATGAATGTGGGAGCATGGTCCATCCCTGTCCTCAAGCCGCCTGCTCCTGCAGGTAATGCTTTCCTAGAGCACACATTGGCTGATTGGAGTTTGAACATCAAAATGCATCAGGCCATAGTAAAGCTGCCAGCAGTGCCAAACATCATGGAGTTTGCCAAGTTAGTCCACATGAAAAATTCAGGGATGTGACTTTCCGTATGCTTTTTTCTTTTAAAGAATAAGCTGGTTTGGGGTCTCCAGAAGCCCCAGGCTCTGTTGTGTCCAGGATGCGTCAGTGTTGTGCTGGATGGATCAGTCGCTGTGATCATGCCCAGTGTTGCTCTGCACGTGCACCGTGTTCTGCCAGACTCCTCTGAGCACAGCCCAGCCCTTTAAATCCTTGTGACCACCTCCCTGTCCCTGGAGCTGCCTGTGCCAGGACAGCTCCTGTCCCGGCGGGTGCCGCGGCTGGCTCGGCACAGCACGGCACAGCGGTGCGGGAGCTGCTCTGCGCTGGAATGTGCCAAACCCTGCTCCGCACAAAAGAAATTCCTTGGCTGTGCACAGGGAAAACAGGCTGTGCTGGCTCCCTTCTCCTGGCCCCTCTCTCCCTGTGTCTGAGGCTGTGGAGCCAAGTGCGTGACTTGCAAGGAAACAGCCCAGCAAAGGGGTGCTCCAGGAGCCTGGGTTGGGGTGATGGTGGCCCCGCTTTCCCTTTGCTCCGTGGAACCCCTCAGGGAGATGCTTGGTCTCTTGTGCTGCTGGGGAGGATGGGGCTTGCACACAAAAGCAGCTCCCTGACCTTTCCTTCCCAGAGCCGGGGCTGAAAGGGGCTGTTGTGCCCTTGGCAGCAGGAGAAGCTGGTGGACAGGCAGGGTTTGTGTATGTCCAGCTGTCCCAACTGCCCAGCCAAGGGGCCGAGCTCCTCCCAAAAATCCTCTGGGACTCAGCTTCTCTTTTGTGCCTGCTTGGGCCCCCAGTCTTCCCCTGCAGCTCCTTTTACCACGTAAGAGATTCCTCATGAGCTTCCCGGTGTGGTGAAGGCAGGAGGAGGGGCAGGTAGGGCTTCCCTGGGTGCAAAACCTCAGCAAGACTTGCTTGCTAGCAGCTCAGCTGGGGATGGTGGTAATGGCTTCACCGGGTGGCTGCAGGAGCCAGTGTGGAAAACTGGAGGAATCTGGAGGCTTCCCAATGCTGAGGACTCCTCTTGCAGATTTGCACATAGCAAGGATGGAAGAAACTTGCAGCTTGCTTGAAAAAGATCTGCTGTGGCAGCCATGGGTGTGAATGGCAGTGGGGGTCTGGTGCGAGGCTGGGGTTTCTGCTTGGGGTAAATCCGTGGTGCTGCAGCTGGTGACAGTGCACACGTTGGGGAAAAAATGTCATTTTCTGGAAGGGCATGTGCTGGCTGCCACAAGGGCACTGCATTAGTGCACAGATGCCAGTGCTATAGAGATATTTAATGACATTTATTTGACATTATGTTAAAACCAGGAAAAAACTGTTTGAAAAATTCTAATCTCTGGAAATCTTGAGTTACTTTTACGTATTAGATCTAGAATAGATTTACACATCACCACACAGAAACTGGGCTGTAAGACAGAACATGCAGCTTCATCTTTTGCTACCACAGCGTACTCTTATGGAGCCTTTTCAAGTAGTGCTGCTCTGCACAGGTGAGGCAGACTTGTGTGCAACTTGTGATGCTCATAAAAAATGAGGGAAACCAGCATATATTTAAATTACCTTAATGCCACGTGCATGTGTCCTAAAATGTACTTCTGTCCTTTGCTGCCTGAACCCTGTCCACCAATCCTGAAACTCCTCTAATCCCTGGTGCCAGCAACAATTCTCTCTTCTGGCAAGCACCTAAACTGGGCTGAGGGTTTTGGAGGTGGAGAGTGGCTGCTTCAGGGGACAAGTTTCCTGCCCTTCAGGCGCCTTGCCAGCTTGGCTGCCCAGGGCTGTGTTCCTGCAGCAGATGGGTAACAAACGGGGATGCTGGCAGCAGCACTCCCCTACAATGGGGCTGTTCAAATCCTGTTTTCATTCTTGCAAAGTGTTGTGTGTTCCCAACGTAATCCATGCAGCCAGAAGCTGCTGCTATCCTGTTACGCAATTATTATTTTTATAACCAGAGGGAGAGATGTTTTAGCATGAAAACAAAGTCCAGTTTCTCTGGCTGTGAAGTGAGTGCTTGCTGCGACCTCGTGTGTGACTTGGGAGGGTTTCAGGGGCTGCCAGCAGCCTGTTTGGCAGCCAGGGTGCTGTAGAAGGGGTGCCCTAGGTGTGGCGGGTACATGTGGGGACTCCCGCTCCTCCCATTGTCGTTGCCAGCTGCCACATGTCTCCCAGGGCACAGGACAGAGCCTGGCAGCACAGAGCAGCAGCTCCAAAAATGGCACTGATGCCAGGCAGTGGCACAGTGCTCCCTGCACTCGGGCAGCCACAGAGCCTGGCTGGGCTGCCCTTGGGCACCCAGCTGGGCTGCCAGCAGCTGAGATTTGTATCAGCTTTGCCCTTCCAGCTGGGAGGGCAGCAGACCAGGCAGCCCCTGGGAGCTGGAATATGGGGGCTGAAGCTGCTCTCATCCCATCTGCAGCATGGATGTGCTGCTGCAGTGCATGGGCACGTGGTTAAACACTGGGAGAGAGGATGGGGAATTGTGCCTGGGCGTGCAGCCCTGCTCTGTGAAAGCATCCCTGGTGTCATGGGCAGAGTGGGAGCTTCAGACAAAGTTTATTATGAAAGCCCTCCTGTTGACTCACGAGGTGAAGAAAGGACACACTTTCCTTTCTAAACTTATCCTCAGAGAAGAGCCTGGATGCAGCTGGATCCAATTTAGCCCCAGACTTTGTCAATGGCATATGTCTAAAGGATTATACAGGTGTAATTGAACCTTTATACAACTTTGTCCCACAGGATTAAGGATGATAAACCTAATGTATTTACAGAAATATAGTAAATGATTTGTTTAAATTTATTACAATAATGATAAGGATTAGAGAAAAAAAAGCTTAATCAGAATTACTTACTAAACAGTATGGATAGCTGTAATTACTAGTGTAGTACACTGTTTTTGAAGCAATATTAAAGCAATTATATCAAAGCTAGCTAAAGAATTATTAAGTAGAGATTGAGTTACTCTCCCATACCAATGACCATGGGCAAATCTCTTTCACTCTGCTCTGAGGAGTGACCTTCAGGGGTGTCCCCACTCAAGGGAAGGATCTTCATACATCTTAGGGAGGTATGATAGAACTCCTCACTGTGCAAAAGTATGAGTGGCCTATTATAGTATAAAGTGATTGCTTGTCAGTCATATGCATTTTTTAGATTATGTATTATCAGACCTAATCAGCACAGTATGCTTTGTGCTGAAAAAGGTGCAGGCAGCTCTTTAGTTTCTTCTTCTCACCACTCCTGATTCTCACTTCCACATCAGAGCATGCACATTCTTGCTGCTCCCAGCTCCAGCCAGGGAGCATGTCTTGCATGTCCTTGTGATGGGGTCTGAGTTTGGTCAAGCTGGTCTCACTATTGTTCACCACTAAGAGCAGCAAACCCTCCTCACTCCATCTTATCACTGCTCAGCAGACCCTCCTCGCTCAGGCCTTCACTGATGAACTTGTAAGGCAAATTTCCAGCTGCTGTATCCCTGCTTAGGCAGAGCACCCTGCTACAGCTGGAGAACAGCCTCAGGCAGTGGTCAGTGTGTCCCTGCTTACACTGCCAATGCTCACCAGATTTCCTGCTGAACTCTTTGTGACGTGGGCGTTTCATACCTCGTGATGCCATGGTGTGGCATGGTTTCAGGTGAGAAATCACAGACTGGAGGGCAAGTACAGGTGTTTCATCCAGGAGCTCCCGGGGAGTGCCATGGGAATGGCCACATCCCCCTCAAGCTGAGACCCACAGCTTGCCCCTCGAGTCACTCACAGAAGAGGAGCTCTTCAGCTTCCTCCACAACAGACACAGGTACAGAAAATGATCTCAGGTTCCTGCTGTGTCTTTTCCTGCTTCAAGTGCTCATTTAAGCTGCCTTGACTTTTTGGCCCTGCCGGCTCTGCCAGGCTTCCTGTTTCCCAGGTGCTTGAAGGGATTTATTACTCTTTCTATGGCTTTTGGAAGGCATTTACCAAACTCTTTTGGCCGACCTCTTGGAGCTTTACCTTTAACCTGTCAGCATTTACCATCTCTTCTGGTTTTCTCATTTAGATGCAGCTTCAGCAGTTTAAATGAATGTCTTCTCATTTTCAATAGCCTCTTTTCCTCTGCAGTCAAGTCTTGCTTTCCTCCCTTTTGCCTTTACAGTATCCTCCAGACAGACACTTCATGTCTGTTCCGATGTCCCAGTGGGTCTCCCTAAATAGGCTCAGAGCCTCCCACAAGTTTTTGTTACCCCTTTCAGTTTATTCATAAAATCAGATTCTCACTTTTGATGTAGTTTCCTTTTTGAAATTAAACATTTCTGCAGTGGATATGTTGACCAGTGTGGAGATGGCTGGAGATAACTGGCTCTGGAGATAACTGAGGGCTGCCAGGGGCCAGCAGCTGCCTGAGTGTGCAGCAGTGGGAGCTTTCTTAGGGAGGAGCAAAGCCAACTGGATCACTTCTGCTCCCTGGAATCCTCTGTGTGTAACCTGGAGAGGGTAAAATGCTCTTGGCTGGGCTAGGAGAGGGTCTGGGCTCCCAGAGCCTCTCTGGACCTATACCTGGGCAGCTGCTGTCTCTGGAGCAGTGAGGGCTGGGATAGCCCATTTTCATGCCTCTCTCTAGAGCCACTATAGATTACAGCAGCACGCTCAGCAGGCTCCTTGGAGCTCGGAATGAGGGTGCTTGATATCTGTTGTGGCAGTGTGCAGGTGGGAAGAGGGGAGATACCAGGGAGGGAGCTGGAGTTAACAGAGCTGTAGTCATCAGCTTTAGAGCCTGTACACTGAGTGCCCAGTGGCTTCTCTGCCTGTCCCCCTGGGAAGTGAGCCCCTCCACAGGCCAGGGGTGCTGGGGAGCTGTGATGGGGAGGGAGTAGCCCGTCATTATCTGGGCAGGCAGGCAGGGGCTGCCTGGTGCAGAAGGCCTTTCAGAGCAGGAGGGACAGGGGACCCTGCCTGGGGCTGGCACAGCCTGGAGGAGAGCAGGATGGTGTGGGTTTTGGATTGGTGCTGCTGAGCAGAGTTTGCTCCTAGTCCCTGTGGACATTCCCGTGCCTTCCATAGCCATGGGCATTGCATGGTGAGCCGGGGCCCCACCACACCTCTTTCCTTGCAGAGGGGGTGTGGTGGGCAGCACAGCAAGCACAGGGAGCCAGCAGAGCTGTCTCCCAGGGTGCCAGCCTCTCACAGAGGGCTCAGACCCTTGGGCCAGAGTGGCAGGTCACAGGTGCTGCACCCCACAGAGGCTGTCTCTCAGTCCTGAGGATGTTTCTCCTGCTGTTTTGCAGATATCCATGAATTCTACGATTTCACGCTGCGCTCTGCGCCCGTGCAATCTCCGAGCCTGGATGCACATCATGGCACAGCCAGGCAGCAGCTTGGGACCAGCAAGCCCAGCTCCACAGTCACACCCAGAGAGCCCCAAAACCTGCCTGAGGTAAGAGCCACCCTCGTGGCGCTGCGGGACCAGACCCTGCACACTCCTGCACTGAGAGGGATTCAAGGGGCACAGCAGGCTGCTGGCCACCACAGCCTGCCCAGCTCACAGCCAGGCTGTTCCCACACATTCTCTGTGATAGCTTGACTCAATAATGAGGCAACCTCTCTGGTTCACAAGTGTTAATTGAATTACTCATAATGCGAACAGCTCCGGCTCTGGCTCCTGCTCTGCAGTTGCAGCTGGATTAGTTGCTCCCGTCTGACGCTGTCTCCCATGGAGGCGTTTCAGCTCTCTGATCCAGCCACTTTTGATAAGTGAAGTAGGTTGAGTCTTTCAAGTTTCCCTTTTCAGGATTTTTTTCCCAGCTCTCAGATAACTTGTGTCTCTCTTATTTGCATTCCCTTCAATTTTCAACAGCCTTCTAAAAGATACAGCACCAGGTGGAGAGGCAGGAATTGAGCAGTAGGGTCTCAGTTATCTCAAAGGCACTAAGGTAAATAGAAATGCCTCATGTCTTTGCAGGCCTTCTTTCCATCCCCCACTTACTTCCTCCATCCCCCACTCACAGCCCTGCCATGGGATGCTGTAGGATCCCCCTAATCTAGGGATACTCTTGTGCAGTAATGCAAACATTCAGGGATTCCTCCTTTCAGTGAAATAACCCTATCAGATAAACACCATTTTCTGCTTCACTGATTGAACTGGCTTCCCATCATATACCTGGGGGAATTTGAAGTTCAAGTGTCACACAGAGAAGATGGAGCTGGATGATATCCTCTCAGGAAGAACATTTTAAAGGAGTTTGGGGATCAAGAACAAGGAGGGCAAAACAGCCTACAATCACTGCAGGAGATATTTGTGTTCCTCTGACTCAGGAACCACTTTAATCCCATTTTTTCTTGACCCCCTTCACATTGCCAGTCCCTCTAGTTAAACCTGCAACTCCACTATGTATTTAAGAACAAATTTTTAGTGCTGTTATGCCATAGGCAGTGGGATCCTGCTTTGGGTTTTTTGGGTGTCCTGTAGCCTTGATCCACCTCTTTTGAACTCTGCTGGCAGTAGCCACTAGTCCCTGTGGCCAGGCCAGTCTATGAATCCCCAAGATGTAACATTGAATAAGGACATTGAAAAATCAGTGTGGAAACAAGCAGGGAAGCAAGTGTGAGCCTTGCACAGCTGGTGTGAGCGGTGCCTCTGCTCCTTCCACTGTGCCCTGTCTGTAAGGGGGATGAAAAAAGCAATCAGTTGCAGGGCCTCCTTGTACTGAACACAGCCCAAGCCATTGACACCATCAAATCCCTCCTCCTATCTCCAAAAAAATGTGTTGGAGGTGTCTTGTGTTACTGGAACATGAAATGCAACCCAGCAATGGCACAGTCCCAGAGTCTTGGGCCAGCAAACCTCCACCATCATTTGCAGTGACCCTGCTGGGCCTGGGGCCAGCGCGAGGCAGGCTGACGTGAGAGGTGGGATGCCCATCAAAGGCACTGCTCCCCTTGCATGGGGAAAAGCTCATTTTGGCCCTTCCAGAAGCAGTGGAGAGCCTGGAGGCAGCTGGCCTGCCCTACCTACATATCACTGGTCTCGTTTCAGGACTGCTCCTGGGACCGTGAGCAGAGGCTCGCCACGGGAGCTGGGGACAGCGCTCCGGGGACACCGCCACGGCTGGTGAGGGTGACAGCACGGCGGACAGAGGCACCAGCCAGTGTCTGCAGCCTGGTGCTCGGCTGTCACAGCACCCTGCCCCAGGTGAGCCTCCGTGCGCCCCACGCCACCGCCCACCCTGCCGGCCCTGCCAGCGGCTGGCACTGAGGGGACAGCGCCGTGCGCTCCCAGCACTGCGGGCGCGGCGTTTCCTCCCCTGGGGCTGCCAGCGCGTCCTCCTGGCTGATGGTTCTGCTGATGCTCACACCAGAAAATCGAGCGGTCACCTGTGCCAGGGGCTGGACAGCACTGAAATCATCCCCTTGCGTTAGCACTTGCCGTGGCCCCGTGTCAGCCCTCAGGGCTCGGAGGGCAGGTGGATGTGGCGCAGGAATAAAGAGGCTGCTTGGAGCTGGAATTCCTCCCAGGCCCGTCCCTCTCGCCCCCAGCGCTGGCACGCTCCCACGTTGCAGATTTCCATATTTTTTTCTCCGAGCTCTTAAATGGCAGGTCCGTTGCTCAGCTTCCCAGGAGCTTTTCGCTGCTGTCTTATTTACTTGGAAACACCATTTATTTGGATGTGCATCGTAAAGCTCAGCCTCCACCTGGTGCAAGAAAATTGTTTGGGCTACATGTTTGAGGGGAGTTTTGGGAATGAGTGAAGGGCAAAATGCATTTTTGGGAAGGATGAAGTGGCCAGGAAGAATGGAGCTCACCACAGATTTAAAATTATATGAAAATGTTGTTTTTCTTGGCAAAGTTTGAAATAATGCTTGTTTGCTAAGTCTAAGTTTTCTTCCAAAGTATTTTAAATACAAAAATTGCACTGCCTCTCTTCTGTCCTTTTTAAAATGTTTCCCTTCTTTTTCTGGACTGCAATAAAATGGGTAACACCCCATTTTTTTCTCTTACTGTTTAATTTCTCCTTTTCTCTTGTTTCTCTCTACATTTTCAATCACTCACCATATCTTAAGCAGTTTTTGAAGGGCGAGACAGTGATTTTCTGTCCAACCCAATATGGCAAAAAGATGAGCTTGGCTGCTGATTTCCTTTTGCCAATGGGTGGGAACCACCACCACAGGGGAGTCATAGGGCAAAACCCATGAGGGGGTGAGAGCCTGAGCAATTGGGAACAGATTCTGTTGTGATTATAAGGGATTTTCTTTCTAACTGTCCCAGTAGCAAAGTGAAGTACAGCAGCTCTTGCATCCAGCCCCGAATGTCTGGCTGAGTTTGCAATGTCTCCTTCAGCAGCAGACACCTATTTTTGATTTTAAGACTTCATGCAATGGGGAATCTGCTCTGTCCCTGGCCTGGCTGGCCTGATGATTATTTATGCTTCACATTAAAAATCTGCATTTTACTGTTAGCCTGGATTTCTCTTGCTTTAGCTCCCAGCACCAGGAAATTTTGCTGCCTTAGTTTGCTAGGATAAAGGACCTTGGCAATCAGAAATGTTCCCAACATGTAGGTATTTATAGATGCGTCTAACTTCCCTCTTAACTTTCCCTTAGATAAACTAAACAGATTGGCTTCTTTACTCACTCACTGTTGAGGCAGGTTGTTCCAGACCTGAAATAATTCCTGTCATTCTTTTCATCCTCCTTCTTTCCTAGCCTGTGTCAGCATGAGGCCAGTCCTTAGTGCCAGGTGCTGGAGCTTTAGGGGTCACCCATTCACAGGGGCTGCAGCTGGCAGGCCTGAGCAGGGGGTCACTGCCCTGAGATGGAGGAACAATGGGGTGGGCAGACTGGGACTCTGGGAGCGCTGTGCTCTGGCAGGGCTCTCATCTGCAGCCTCCTTCATCCCAGGGAATGGTCCTTTCACAGCATGGCTGCAGGCAGAGCAGGGAGCAGGAGGTGAAAAGCTGTCAGGATGGTAGTGTTCAGTGCCAGGTATTGCCATGCCTGTAGTCCTCCCTGAAACTTGGCTTTCTGCAGAAACCCAGCAGCTTTCCTGAAGACTTGATCCAAGCAGTGCTGGAGAGCTGCAGGCTCAAGCAGAGCTCTTCTGCAGCAGGCCCTGTGCTGGGATGCAGAGTCCTTTGTCACAGTGGTGAGCCTTCCCCCAGGATGTCGCCTTCAGTGCTGAATACAGGCCTTGCCCTGACAGAGGGAAGCATTTCCAGCAGTCCCCCACGAGACAGGATCAGGTGCCTGGGGCAGGCTGTGCTGCTGGACCACAGCATGGGCTGTTTCTCATCCTTCACTCCTGCACGAAGGCACTGAGGACACCTCAGCTGCTGCCAGCATCACATCCCGTGTCCGTTCTCAGCAGCCACAGCATGCAGGACAGCACCAGGGCTGGACAACACCTGCATACCCAGCTCCTGCTCTGCTCCACAGGGACTTCTTGCTTTCCAGCCTTCAGTGTGTGCTTTTTTTTGCCACAAGCATTTCCAAAGCGAGCTGCAGAAAAATACCTAAGGTGGACAATTGCATTTGGAAGAACCAGGGAAGCATTTATAAGTTAGTGATAGTTAATGCTAGGGCAGGGGAGCACCAGCTGCCACCCCAGTGCCATCAGCCCAGGAATGAGAGCTCTGGTTGACAGCCTGCCATTGATAAAAGGCAGCCATGAACTGGCTTTTCCTACATGAAATGCAATTCTCTTATTGCATCTATTGATGTAAATAAGTTTTCTCTTGCCCTGGCTTTGTCCTCTCCCCTGCCCGCAGCTCTCCACAGCATTGTTAACAGAGCAAAAGCTACCATGGCCTGCTTCAGCCAGGAAGATGCATGTCAAATAGATTGCCTCTCCATTCCAGTGCTTCCAGGAACAGGAAATTTCTGCCTGCTGGTGAGGACATGGGTGTGCTCTGAATAGCCCTGCAGAGTGCAAAGGGCTGCTACAAAGGAAGAGGTGCCGGTAAATACAGCAACAACATGTGCTTCCTGTTGAGGCTTAGTGGGCTGAAACCATCCCTCGACTGCAAAGTGGATGTTCAGCCCTCAACGGGGCAAAAGCAAAGGGACTTTGCCAGATAAAACACCCTGTTGAGGCTAATAGAGGCAAAACCCTGCCAGAGTTCTGGGGCTCATGGGGTTTTATTTGATGAATCCTTCATTTCAACCTTTCCTGAGCCCTGCAGCTGCCTCAGCAGGGCTGCTCAGGGCTTATGTGTGTGTGCTGCGGGAAGACTCGGGAGGATGCTCCTGTGGCCAGTGTCACTCGCCTGTGCTCCCGGGCTGCCAAGGAGGCTGCTGCTATAAGTAAACGCCGTTTTCATCCTCTGTGCAGGGAGCAGCCAGCTGTAAAGATAAATGAAAGAGGAACAATGCCGCTGATGGGCAGAGCTGTGTGCCTGCGAGGAAGCACTGCTCTTCCCCTGCCACCCCTCTCCTGCTTCCCTGTACAGCTCTGCAGCCGCCCTGACTTCATCCCTGTCACAGCGCCAGTGCCTCCACCTCGGCCTGCCCGTGCATCCCTCCCGTCTGCCGAGGCTCTCCTCGCTGTGCCGCCCGATGCCAGCTCTGCCACTGCTCTGCCCTTGCTCAGCCTGACAGCTGACACGGAGCAACAGCAGGTCCTGATATGATGGAGAGCGCAAGCGAGGCTGCCTCAGAGAACAGGCATTCCATGCATGCTCTGAAATCACCGGTGAATAAGAAACCTCGCTGGCAGGAGTCACTGCTGCTCCGGCAGGCTCCGGGTGTGTGGGATGCCTCTGAGTGCCCTGTCAGGGTGAGAGGTGCAGTCTGCGCTTCAGTCCTGCGGGGCTGAGGCCAGAAATGTCCAAGTCCCCCTCCCTGTGTCCCAGGAAGGACACAGCTCCGGCAGAAACGCCCTGTCAGGGTGTTAGGAGCCCTCTGCTGCAGCTGCTGCAGAAGAAGATGCATCCGACTGCCCCATGACCCACGGCTCAAGTGCCAAACAGGTCCATGGAGCTCCCTGGGGCATTTGGCAGAGAAAGGCAAGCTGCGCCGCCGGCGTGGCGACCGACTGTCTGCTTCTCCCGTCCTTCTCTCAAGTGTTTTTTCCTATTTCCCAGTGTGCCTTTGGCCAGACCGAAGGGCGTTCCGGTGCTGCTCACCTTTGCCTGCCAGGAGCAGCGGGTCAGGATGGGATGGGCGTGTGGCTGTGAATTCCCTGCTCCCCTGCCTGGGCTGCAGCCTCACCGCTCTCCATTTTCTCTGTGAGATGCAGGAGAGGGGAAGCACCAAGGAGCTGTTTGCTGTTGTGTGGAGCGTCAGGGAAATGAAGCAGAACTTCGGTGCATACAATGAATGCAGCCCCAGCAAGAAGCCCCTGTCAGGTTGCTTGGTTGCACGTGCCCTGCTGTCCCCACCACCCCATGCCCTCTCTGTGGGCTGACGGGGCAAGCAGCTGAAGCCATTGCTGCAGGCCAGACTTTACCAGGCCCCTGCTTTACCTCAACCTCAGCCCATCAAGCCCTGCAACCCCAAAATCCCAGGAAGTGGCTAATGCTCAAGCAATGGGACCACAGAAGCAATCAGCTCCTGGGGGAACTCCCCCCTCCCCATTGCATCCCGATGCAAAAGGAAAAGCACATTTATTTTAGGATAAGCAGAGAAGGAGAGCAGCAACCCCCAGCCCACAGGCTGCTGCCCAGTGTTACTTGAGCCACTTTGTGCCTAGAGGTCACTTCAGGGCATTCAGATGCTCCAGCAATTTTGTGTTCTGATACTGCAGAAAGAGGCTCAAAAGCCAAAGTGCTGAACTCAAGAGGGTGTCTGTCTGTAGTAACTCACACAGATTGAACCACACATCAGCCCTGCACAGCAGGGACACCCAGCTGGGCAGCCAGCTGCCTGTGTCCCAGGGATGCTGCTGCTCAAAGAGGGGGTCAGCAAGGGCTCTGTCAGTAAGAGCTGTCACTTCAGTGGACATTTTGGGGTTGAATGGCCTCAGCTTTACTAGAGGCTTTTGCTATTCCTGCTGCAGAGATGAACATGCTTAGACTTCAGTTCTCCCAGCTCAATATCCAGCTTCAGCAAAGGATGAAGAAGTCAGTAGAGACACCAGGCTGTCAAACCAAAATCTCATGCATGGTCACCTATTCCCACTCTACTTGGGGGCTTTTTGTCTAAAATCAGCAGCAAAAGGAAGATCCTTGCAGACACAAGGTGTTTCTGGCTGTGCAG